GCCACAGTTCTTACTTTCAGAAGGAGGGAATTCTGATTTGGATTCGGAGGAAGTAAAGGAGAAGTTGGACAATTTGGCTAGTGTGCAAGCATGAACCTTGCTGCTTTGATTATTGCATGAAAGCGCTTCCTCTGTGCCTCTTTCACAAGTAAGACGTAAACGCCCAGTCTCATTCCGAAACTGAAATTCGGGCTGAACAACTCTCTTTTCAGGGTGGTGTTTCATCCTCTCTCTTGATGCGTCTTCCTCTGGTGGCTGCTGTGACACCTCCTTTGCCTTCCTCTGCAGCTGATCGCAGTTTCCGTTTCCTGAGGCAGAGGTCAACTTTTCCGGACCCTTTACAGGCAGCGCTGCTTCTCCTGTAGCTCTGTGCTGGGAAATTTTGTGACTCTGAGCTGCCATTTTAGTTGTGCCAGGAGACACATGGCTGTGGTCCTCAGGCGAGTGGATCAGTTTTGACTTTCGTTTGAAAGTAAACTTTGCCAGTTTGGCCACAGGAGGACCTGGACTCTCAACACTTTCAGGTTCAGACTCTTCTGCCTGAGCGAGGGCTTTCTTTCTCTTTCTCTTGGGAGTCTCCAGTGCTCTTTCTGGCCTATGCACAGGCATGCACGGAGCATGGGAAGGGCCTGTGGGCTGCGCAGGTGCCCGGGCGGGATTTATGCACCGCTCCTGGGCCCTCTCTGAGCGCAACCTGTGTAGTCTCCTGGGGACATGAAGAGTCAGTACCGAGTCGGCTTCGGCAGCAGTGACAGCTGCTTCAGAAACTACTGCTGCTTGTCTTTCCTTTTCCCCCTCAACACGGTGCGGCCTCAATGGAGCTTCTGTCTCTCTTGGTGCTGGAAGCTGTCCCGTTTCCAATTTGCTCTTTCGGCCTGACTCACTCTTTTCCTTACCCTGAGATCTGTTGCTGGAGATTTTCAAAGCCATTTTTGCCCCAGTTGTTTTGGGACCAGGAGACATAGGAACAGTGTTTTTAGGTTCAATCTGATCAACTGCTATGGAGTCAAACCAATCCAAACTGTGATCTCTTCTCTCGTTGAGCTCAGCTGAATGTTTTCTACTTTTTGACCTGTTAGGCTCCAGACGGGGTGGCAGATTGACAAGTGGGCTTCCCTTGACACTGCCTCCAACAGCAGGGGTACGCACACTGCAATTCGTTTCCTGCTGTGTTGATGTTCCGAACTGGAGTTCTTCCCCTGGATCATTTCTCGAGGATCCTGGAGTAGTCTCTGCCTTCACTACCCGTGGTTGGGATTGGTACACACTCTGATTCTGTAACCTGTAGCAGAAATAAAGAAAACATATATTAAAGGGAAGAGAATTTGCTTTAACCTTTTCATTTTTTTAGGGTCTGAGATGCCATCTAAAGGGTTAAGTCCCACATAATTTTAAATCAATACCAAATAGTCTCTCAGAGCAGCAGGAATAATCCTTTTACATCATAATATAATTTAAATGCTCCGATAATCATTCTCATTTAACCTAAAGCTGCAGTAAAATAAAGAAAATGAAGTAGCCAATTTGTCTATAGTGTTAGTTCTCCCTGAAAGTCCATTTAATTCATTTAAGATTGTCTGAAGGTCAATGTAAAATGTGCAGTCTTATCTCGTGTTAAAAGTGGAACTACAGGGGCCGGGCGAGTGGTGTGATGGTTAAGAACTGGCTTGGGACGCCAGAGGGCCCCGGTTCGGATCCCACATATGAGGGCCAGTGACACTGCCCGCCACAGCTGAGATGCTGAACAACAGCTCAACCCGGAGCTGGGCTGCCGTGAGTCGCCGGCGACGGCGTAGGCTGCAGCCCCTGCGGCAGTGGGTTGCCATGGGCTACCGTGTAGCCAGCAGCCAGTGTGAGCGGCCAGCAGCCGCAGTGAGTGGCCGTCCAGAAGCCGGTGACTGATCTGCCTGGCCCGGGAAGAGCACAATGATGGTGCCAACTTGGACCAGTGAAGCAACGTCCTCCACAACAAGACTGAAGAACAAAAGGACATCAAGTTGTCTGTTCCCCTTCCCCCAATTCTCCAGCACTGTTCCCATCCCCGCAATTGCCCAATTAAAAAAAAAAAGTGAACTACAAGGCAAACGTGTAGCTGTTTGCACAGCAGCTTGTTGCTGATCAAGAAAGTGGCTCTACTTGCTAGTGGCCAGATCAGAACCTAAGTGAAAGGCTAGAAATTATGATCTCTTACATCTCTTCACCTAACTGAGGTACTGGACTTTAGGGCATCTGAGAAGTCACCTTCCTGCAAAATAGAGGCTGTGATTCCTCCATACCTGGGCTCCCACTGTCCCCTATGGCCTTCACATTCCTGGTAGACTTCCCCAGGCCACGGTGACATCTTTCCTGCAAAGCGCAGCCACGTTTCAACATGTGTTCTGGGCAGCTACTCTCCATCAAGTTAATACAGAGTCAAGTTGATATAGACCCTTCCTGAATGAGAGATCTGATCAGTGATATCCATTTTAAATCTTGGGTATATTAGAATCTGAAATAATGCCAGAGGACCAATTTCTAACAGAAATTATAATTTCTCAAAATGAGGTCGTTTAGAAAGCCCTCTCTAACAACCTAGAAACGACTTTTCAGCATAAGGGGCAACATCACCCTGCTTCCATGTAATAAATCTGAAAAGGAATTACACCAAAAAGCAGATGAATAAATTATTCTAAAAATATGTTCAATCATGGAAGAAGGAATAGAATACATTAACTTTAAGTAAATTTTAAATTTAAATATACTAAATTCATTAAAATGTTAATAAGACTACATGTGATTTTTGTCTTATTAATTAATTACTGTTACTTTTCAAAATACTCTGTAAAGAACATGTATTACCCCTTACAATCAGGAAAAAATAATCACAAAAATTTTATTGTAAAATATTGGGTTATATTCACACATGGTAGATTTGGAGACATCAATATAGCAAAACCATGTTCACAGTAGTCACAACCCAACAAACAAACCAAAAATAGCTTTCACAATTACTACTATCTAGTATGCTTTCAGCATCAAAGAGAGGTCAAGGATACTCAATTGTCAGAACTCCTTAACAATGTCCTAAAAAACAGGGAATTTTCAGGAGTAGAGTCATTTAGCTCTATTATTTTAGACTAATTTTGACTTTAGGAATTAAATTCTCCCTTACATAAAATGTCTGCAGTTTGACTACAGCCTCCCAAAAGCATGTTTGTACTCTGGTTTGAAGTGGGTAGAGTGGCCACCGTTTGAGGCAGGCCATCACTAAAAGCATTTTCCAGAAGAAAAGTGTGATAAAAATACAAATAGTTTTATTATTGATATGTGATCCACTTAAGGCATAAACAATGCTTTCCTAAGGGGAGAAAGCCATGTGTTCTCACTTGGTAAGATGAGCTTTACACTGTGTCTTGGAGGTAATTCACTTTCATTTGTGGGGCACCTGCTTTTGTTGCTTTGAGGATCAACACTGAACAGGGTCCTGCATTACATAGAAATGTCAGAAGAACATTTTAGGCAGAATCCTATTTTTTTTTAAAGATTTTTATTGGGGAATTGAGGGAAGGGGAACAGAGAAGTTGCTGTCCTTTTGTTCTTCAGTATAGATGTGGAGGATGTTTCTTCACTGGCCCAAGTTGGCACCATCACTGCGCTCTTCTTGGGCGAGGCAGATCAGTCGCCGGCTTCTGGACGGCCGCTCACTGTGGCGGCTGCTGGCCGCTCACGCTGGCTGCTGGCTACACACGGTAGCCCATGGCAACTCACTGCAGCAGGGGCTGCAGCCTACGCCATCGCCGGCGACTCCCGGCAGCCCAGCTCTGGGTTGAGCTGTTGTTCAGCATCTTAGATGTAGAGGGCAGTGTCACTGGCCCTCATATGTGGGATCTGAACCGGGGCCCTCTGGCATCCCAAGCCAGCTCTTAACCAACGTGCCACTCGGACGGCCCCAGAATCCTATTTTTTAGATCATCGCCTACTCTTTCTTTTCCTTTTTTCCTTCCAGGACAGTCATTTTGAATTTGGTAAGTTCAATTGCTATTTTTCTATCACATTTCTTCCCTTCCTGAATCCAGCATATTTTTGGGAGTTAAAATGAGCAGCCTCTCCATAAGGAAAGCCAAGCCCAGGGCAGGCCGAGGGACGCGCTTCGTCAAACCATAAAAGGACCACAGGACTAGCTTTGCTTTTAACACCATGCTCTGGATCAGCGGTTCTCAACCTTCCTAACGCCGCAACCCTTTAATACAGTTCCTCATGTTGTGGTGACCCCCCAACCATAAAATTATTTTCGTTGCTACTCTATAACTGTAATTTTGCTACTGTTATGAATCGTAATGAAAATATCTGATATGCAGGATGTATTTTCATTGTTACAAATTAAACATAATTAAAGCATAGTGATTGATCACAAAAACAATAAGTAATTATATATTGTGAAATATTTATTTCTAATTACAAATAAATGAAATTTTGTCTTGAAGCATGGAGACGGATAGAGGAGCGGTGTCTCGGTTCCTAAGACCATCGAAAATATGTGTTTTCCGATGGTCTTAGGCGACCCCTGTGAAAGGGTCGTTCGACCCCCAAAGGGGTCGCGACCCACAGGTTGAGAACCACTGTTCTGGATTATTAAAACCAGGAGACCAAAAGAAAAGGCGGGTGATTTTATACAAAGTGCCAGTTTACTGCAGGCTGGCATATGGGTGTTAGCAGGACAAAACCAGCCCCACACTTCCCAGGAAGGCTGTGCTGAGGTTTTACAAATTAGAAAGAGAATGCTGCTGGCTGAAGGAAGTGAGTGAATGGAAGAGAAAAGCCAGGGAAAGAATGCTAAGGTTTTACTTAATGCAGACAATAATCCTGATGTGGTCCCACATCATGCTGGAGGCTGTTCCACTTCCCACAACAATTCTATTCACCAGCCCAGCTTTGAGATCAACATCAATAACCAGGTTCAGGTCAATTATTAAGCCAATTAATTGATCAGGAAGATTCCCAAATATTGTAGATGCACTTGCCATTCCTCACTCCTGTTTCACAGGTACAGGCTCAAAGTTTAGCTTTTTAGAAGCTCATGTATTTAGGGAACATGCGAATGTTCAAGTTCAGGCCGAAATTCTTGAGGTAATGCATGTGACAGGTTCCTTCCCATGTGTCCACATTTAACAAGTCATTAGAAAGGTGATTTGTGAAACATCGTTTTTGTCGTTTCTGCATTGTTACCCTGTAGGATGAAAAACTGATCTCCCTCTTTAACATCAAATACATCATTCTCGCTGGGGATTTTTCTTAGTCTGACTGTTAAATATGTAAATTTTTAAAGTCATGGATTTGGGCATGTAGGCAAGGAAAATCATGATGCTTATGGGAGGGTCAGAGAAGCTGCTAATGAACCAGAAGGGCCTTTCCCAGGATCAAATGGGCACTAGTTATCTCCACTTCTCTAACTCCCAGCATACTACTGTGTTTCCCTGAAAATAAGACCAGGTCTTCTATTAATTTTTGCTCCAAAAGACACATTTTATTCATTTATTCATGTACAGAAATCTACATTTATTCAAATACAGTCATGTCTGGCTGACGATCTTAACTGGGGCTTATTCTGGGGTAGGACTTATATTATGAGCACCCTGAAAATCATGCTGGGGCTTATTTTCCAGTTAGGTCTTATGTTTGGGGAAACACGGTAGCTCAGGCTGGCCTGAAACCAGTCTGGGCCTGTCTTCTACCTGCGATTTCCTCTCACCAGGGTTACATAAAGACTAATTATCAAATATTTATTATGCTGGGAAGAAAGCTTTAAAAACAATAAGAATAAAATATTAATGAACACTAAGGTTTTTTATGTAAACTCCCTTGCACATGTCCTCTCCTGGCAAAGAAAAATGACATGGCCAAGTTATTAAAATATTTTATGTCTGCGTCTGGCCTGGGATAGGCTGCTCTCCTGGAGTCCAACTTCCTCTTTTTCTTAAAAAAGATTTTATTGGGGAATTGGGTGAGGGGAACAGTGTTGGGGAATCGGGGAAGGGAAACAGCCAAGTTGTTGTCCTTCAATCTTAGTTGTGGAGGGAGCAGCTAGCTCAGCTCCAAGTCCAGTCGCCATCTGGCCGCTCAGCCCAAGGTGCCATGTTCAATTTTAGTTGCGGGGGGTGCAGACCACCATCCCATACGGGGGTCGAATCAGGAATCTTGTTGTTAGGAGCACATGCTCTCACCAGCTGAGCCATCCTGCCGCCTGTTGGCAGCTCAGCTCGGGCGCAGCTCGCCGGCGATGTGGGAATTGAACCGGCGACCTTGTTGCTCAGAGCTAGAGCTCTTAACCAACTAAGCGACTCGGCTGGCCCCCCAACTTCCTCTTTCTTAACAGCAGTCCCAGCCGCCTCTCTGAATGGCATTGCTCTACTTCTTATATTGAGCCAAAGAAAGTGAAGAGGAAGAAGTGGTGGTAACAAACATGATAAAGCCCATTCACCAAGGCATCTTGATTCCACAGTAACTGTGAATCTTGGGTATGAACTGTAGGTAGCCTACTTTAGTGCTTCTCAAGTAACTGTCACCCAAGGTGATAAACTTTGCTATATGTAGTAAAGAACCAGTTCGTGTTCTCCATGAGGTTTACCAAACCAGCGAGTCAAGGAAACACAGGTATAGAAGGTAGTCTCCAAAGATGGCAGCCATCAGGTCCCTCATTCCTGTATGTCTGTGCCACTCCTCCCATCAAGAAGTGGTGTCTATTTCCCTTTATGTTGCATGTGGGCTGACCTTGTGACCTGCTCTGACCTATAGAAAGTGATGCTGCACCAGGCCCAGCCCAGCCCATAAGAGGTCTGGCAGCTTTCACTTTTGCTCTGTTGGAGTCCTAAGCTATCATGTCAGAATTCTGACTGTCAGAATTCTGACTACCCTATGGTAGTCAGAGACCCAGCCAGCGCCCAGCCATTTAAGACACCCAAGCAAATGCACCACACACATGTCAGAAGCCATCTTGGATGTGCCAATTCCAGCTGAGCTCCCAGTTAAATGTAGGTTTATGAGTAACCCGAGCTGACACTACATGGAGCCCAGATAAGCCATCCCCACTGAGCCCTCCTGAATTTCTGACTCCCTGAAAACTAAGCACTAAAATGACAGTGGTATTTCTTTTTTTAAGCCATTGAATTTTGGCTAGTTCATTATAAAGCAATAGGTAACTGAAACAATCCCCTACAGATAGTACAAATAGATTTTCCACTTAATTTATACTTCCTTCATTTCACTAAATGCCAAACAAGGATTTTCTATTATATGCCTTTCTTGGTTTTCTCCTCTCACCTTTCAAGTCTTGTCAGCTCTTCACTCAAGAGATCGTGCAGCTCCAGCTTTTCCAGAATAAGTTCACACTGCCTCTGGTACTGCTCCAGCGGGTTTTCAGGAAAGGAAGTGTGGAGCGCATTCACACCTCCCAGCAGTGCACCTCCCTGAGGGGGTACGAAATAGAAAATACGGGAGGGGGGGGTCAGCAGGCCAGCCTACATAGAGGAGGTACACACTAGGGACCACTGATCCCAGATGGCTAAGAACAGCCCTCCAAACCCACATCTTGGAATCAGAATCACCTGGGAGCCTTTTTCAAATTTCTATAGTCCTCTCCCCCGTTCTTGGTGGCAAGCATTGCTCTAGAAAGCCACACTCTCACTGGTGGGACCATGAGCATCCCTTAGGTGTTTTAAGGAGAAAAAGGATTGAGACCCACTATTTTATACAGATGGGCAAAAGCAATGCTGGTGATGCAGAGAATGTTTCCATGACAATGTTTTTCCTTCTTTTAAATGGTTTCCTTTGGATATATTTCCAGGAATTATTACGTCTAGAATGTGATCATTTTTATAACTCTTGATATACTATAAATTGTTTTTTTAATGCTCGTAATTACACTTCAAATATTAGGTACAAAACACCCTCACCTGCATTGAGGACTCCATTACTGACACCACGGTAATAGCATCTTCCAGAGTCACAGTGTCACGAAACATCAGGCGAGCGTGAGCTAAGAAAATAAGATGCATTTGAAATTATGAAGACAGGAATATTTTACAAATATTTGAGGTGGTAAATGTAATATTATACCTGATCCCTCTCAAAACTGTATTTTATGAATGAGCTAATAACAAATTTTCCTCGACAAGCACAAACATCTAAGCTCAACTAGCTTTTTTTTCTTTTTCCATTATCATTTATTAATTTTTTTTTATTGGGGAACAGTGTGTTTTTCCAGGACCCATCAGCTCCAAGTCAAGTAGCTGTTCCAATCTAGTTGTGGAGGGCGCAGCTTAATTCGCCATGTGGGGATCGAACCGGCAACCTTGGTGTTATGAACACTGTGCTCCAAACACCTGAGCTAACCGGCCGCCCCCATAAGTTCAACTAGCTTTAAGGCTGTTTCTCTAATAATGTGACTATACCTCCTGCACAGTCCATGGCAATTCTGTTCATTTATATAAAAAATACTCTGGGCTCCCCAAAATTAAGGGGCTATTTAAGCATATATTTAATATTCAACAACCTTTAATCCTCACTTTCTGGTCTATTATAGAAATACAGAAAATTAACTCATTTCTCATCTCTGGCCTTCTCTTTATCTGTTTTTCAAAATTTAACAAATTTGCGAGCCTGAATTTTGGGTATTTCTTGCCCTAATATTAACTATAAATCTTTGAAAAAGTGAAGTGCATCTGTTTTATAGAGCTTTTTATTAAGCATATATTATGTCATCCTATGGTACAGTTAAGTTTATGTGAAAAAAATGTATTGAATTATTTAAAGGGCTACATGTAAAAGCCAATGTCAGAAAAAAAAAATCTTGAGATTCTGTTAGCTATATGTTTGCAGGTTAAGTCTCATGCCTTAGGGATGGGCTGGGCCATGGTATTATTAATTTGGTATCACTATGTTAGTGATGGGTTGCTAATAGGAAACAAATCCAAACAAGGCAGTATCCTACCCAAAATGCCAACAGACTGCCACTGAGAAACAAAACACCAGTAATTAAGACTTTCTAAATAATGATGTCTTAAGTTTTAAGAGTTCCTGAGACCACGAAGATTCTTCTTTCTTAATGATACTACATTTCACTCAAGACCCATCTCTGTCCCCAGAAGAGTGGAGGTTTCATGGCCCAGAGACTTGACTTTGTAAGCAATTGTGAGCTCCTTAGAGTAAGGATTATTCTCATTCAATATCTCTGAATCCATGGTGCTAAGCCCCAGGCCCTGTACATATTGGGGACCCCATAAGAAAATTCATTTCTTGAATGAAATACACCTTCTGCTAATCGTATCAAGCTTTCCAACAGGCGGATGGTTGTCCGGGCAGCGTTCCGGGAATCACTCTGCCTTTGCATCTGGTAGTACCGGAGAAGAACCTGGTTACCCACGTCAGACAGCGTGGGCTGCAGATTCCGAATGAGGCAGAAGTAGGTTTTCATCTTTTCCATGCTCCAGAGCTTCTCTGATTCGCTTGGGTAACCTATATACATCAGGTGTTGGGTCAGTAATTTGTGGCATAATTCAGTCTAGTTTTCTTTGCACTCAATAATAATCATATATCCTAAGATTGCCCCCTTTCATCAGAAAAAATCATATTTGCTACTATAATCTCATCAATGGCAGGTAGAGAAAGGCCTGTTACATCTGCTCATTATTCTGGGTTTCGTAACTACCTTCTCTCACTGCTTTCGATCTAAGCATTTCTCTATTGCCCGTTAGGTAGGGTACCCTGGGTATTTATTTAATTTTCTTCAAAGAGAGTTTCATTTGGTTACTTCTACTTTTTCTTTGTCAATTTGAATGATTTGTTTGTCTCTGCATACCTTTGTTTTCTAAGATAAAGGAGGAAATTATACGATCCCAATCTTCATTCTTCGTATCAAGCAAAACCAGGATCAGGTCAAATCGACTTAAGAGTGGGCTGCCAAGGGCGATGTTCACAGACACGGACTCGTGGGGGTCGTACTGGCCTTTGGGGTTAGTTGCTGCCAGGATGGTGGTCCTTGTGTTCAACTTGCACACAAGGCTACCGAAAGAGAAGATACAATTCACTGACTGCGAGATTCAAATAAAAAGCAAGATTACACTTGTTGATCAAATGGGGCTGCTGTTGCAGAGAAACCCATGTGAAGGAGAATGTGGAATGATATATAAGGAGGTATCACCAACACCAAGTTCAACAAAGTACATTTACACTAGCCTATCTTGAAGAAAAACAAGTGTTCAACAAACAATTCTTATGACCCTACTGTGAGCAGATTCCTCTGCTGGGTGCTAAGAGGCATATAAACTAAACTAAACACAAATATTGCTCTTACGGAGTTTGCAATGCACTAGCTATAATGGTGAGACAAGGCAGAATACCATAAGTTCTAGAAGTATAAAGGTCTCAGGAGGAGTAAAGATGTATATTCATCTACGTGAATGGAAGAGACAATTAGAAAAACATTACAAAGTAGGTTTTGAACTGGGCCCTTCATGACCTGTGGACTTTTTAAAGTGGATATATATATATATATATATATATATATATATATATATATTCATGGACAGGGTGAAGGTGGAGGATGAGGGTGACTTTGGAGAATGGTGACTGGTTGAAGTAAAAACTTTCTGTGTGTTCACTTTGTTTTGATTTTTCTAAAAGTGAAAGAAAAAAGAGATAGATGGAAGGATGGAGGCAGGCAGAGAGGGAAGGAAGCAAGGGAAATCAGGAATAACGGTTGATTAGCATCAAGTCTTTGAAGAGCAACAGTGAAGGAAAGACTGAAGAGAACTGGGAGTGGTGGCGCGTTCGATGGGGAAGGACCATGGAAGGGACACATCGAGGCGACGAGGGCCGTGGTCCAGGAAGAGGCACCAAGTCTGAAGCGGAGCAGAGGCAGGATAGGTGTGGATACATCATAACATATAAACTGTTTTTAAAATTATTAATGATGGGAAAGTCCTCAAAATAATATGGGATGGTCACTAACAATAACAAATGTAGCATTTTCCCTGTAAAGCTGCATGTTTTCCAGTCAATGACTGCTTTTATAGTGGCATATCTGCCTTTCAGCAGTCAGAGCCCTGCAACATCAGCAAACATGTGTTACATCTGTTAATCTCTGATCTATTTCCAGTTGGCTCTAGCAAATACCTCATGCCCTAAGACTGAAAAAGCGTGAGAATCTTGGTGGTAAATGACACAAGAAGACACTCATTAAAGAAGAAAAAGAGAAACAAGGCACTTCCACCAAAAACTAAATTCCTTTAAAAAAAATTACTGAAAGAGAAAAATTCAGATAGTCCACATTTTATATTTGCCAAAATGTTTTTGTAAAGGCAGTTGTCTAGCATTTAGAATCCAGTTTGTCATAAAAAGTGTAATAAATGGTTCCCAAATAATCCCACAAAAGCACATTTAATCCATATTGAAGTGAGGCTGTTCCCATTTATCATAAAAAAGGAATATTGCTGCGATACTGGCAATGAAACAAAATAGAAATGAACATGAAATAGTTTTTAAATTATTTTTAATGTGAAGTAAAATTAATTGATTGTTCTTCCTCTCACTGATCAACAAACATTTATAAGTCATTTCCTATGTGCAAAGGGTTATACTGAGAATTCAGAAAGGTACACAGCTTTCTGGCCCTTGCCTCCAATTAGTTTACACGGCAGGCTCAACACAGTGCCTGTCAGAGAGCATGTGCAATGGATGATGGCATCACCTACAGCAAAGAGAAACCTCTGTGGGGACCTGTGGGTATCAATAAGGTGTGAGAAGGAAAATGAACTAGCAAAGGCAGAAAGAAGGTGGTGAATTGTTCCTGAGGTAACTGGGGAAAAAAAAAATGAGAAGAGTAAGCTTAAGGAAGAGGGCTAGAGAAGAATTACATGTGAAGAAAAATGGCTGTCTAAGGGGCAGTTAGTAGAAATGCCACCAATGAAAAATTGAGGGATGGGCAGGGGAAGCAGAGGCTGTGTGAGATAAAAAGTCAGGCAGCTGCCTGTAGCAAAGGAAGAGGATGGGGGCAGTGCCAGGAGAGAGGGTAGTTTCTGGTCATGAAAGAAGGGAAGGCAGTATAGCAGCCTCTAGTTGCAGACCTGTGCTACAAACATTACTTACTGCATTCAAAACTGAACAGAGCTTCCAAAAACAGATACACATACACAGCCTAATCCTAAGTACTTCGTGCATAGTACTAGCTCACTATGCAACACTGAATGAATGAACTCACAAATTAGTGTAAGGTAATGTTGATTTTTCCAATCCAATATGAACTCTACCTTCTTCAATAATAATAATAAAGATACCTACCATATCTGTAATACCAAGCACGGTGTCAGGGTTCATGTATACATAGTATTCCTAATCTTCACAATAACCTGAAAGGTAGCTATTTCCATCATCAATTTAGAAATTAAGGAAATTAGTAGTCCAGAGATGTTAATAACTTCCCCAAGGTTACAGAGAGGGCAGCAGAGCTGAGATTCAAACCCAGGTCTGCTTAGCTCCAAAACCAGCGCTCTTTCACCTCCAGACTGTCACCCCGATGCTGTAACATTTTAGATACACAGTTCCTGTAGTCGTCAAGATTTTGCTTGATATTTTAGGCATTTATTTACTTGCCTTATTTTTTTCCTACTAAATTTGATCCTCCTTGAGGAACTGTCACCATTATAATCCTCGCACTGCCTGTCACATATTAAATGATCAATAAACATGCACTAAATAATAAATCAAAAACATAAACCTTTACTTAGTTCTGTATTTCTAAAATTCAGTCATTCTATATTCACAAGCTTCAACAATCATAAATTAATCTTGCTAATATTCTTTTTCTGCTTAACTTGGAGTGAAAACATTCCAGTTTCTGAAAAAGCCACTCTCCATTTTAATCTACATATGTAAACTCTCCTACAAACACAGTAACAATTTTTCTAAGTACTGTAAAGCTGAGTTACATAAATTATTTTTACCATTACAGGCCCCCCAGGAAGTGCCCTTGTTATTTTGACAGTCTCTCATTACATCCTTTATGAAGATCCCCATCTTCGCTCCTGGCTTTAATCACCTAAATTCCATCACTTCCAAATTTAACTCTCCATTGTGGTAGTAGCTGCTGTATGTTCATTAAACCTTATTTCCTTTTCCTCTGGGAACAGAGTAAGATTATATTTCCCATTCCCCCTTTACAGTTAAGTAGGGCTGTGAGACCAACTCTAGCCAATGGAATGGAAGTGGAAGAATCGCTGCTACTTCCAGGTCAGGCACCTAAAAGATGTCCCTGTTTTCTCTCTTCACCAGCAGAGTACAGATGAGGATAAGGCCCTGGAGTTTGAGCCACCGGAGGGAAGGCGCCCTGGCCCTGAATGACAACGTGGAGCGCAGCACCCCATCTTCAACCCATCTGATTGTGACATGAGCAAGAACACGTCCTTTGGCAAAATACTGCAGGAACGAGCTGACCAGTTTTCAAGGAGAAATGGAAGAGAAAAAATACACCTCAGAAGTTTGAGGTTTTGAAGGGATAGGAAAAAAGAATTGCTTCTAGACTCTAGAATATATGAGGGAGACTGAAAATAGGCTATGAAACAACAAAAGGCCCAGTACATTTTCTCAGTTGTGCAGTGACTCAGATTAACGGTTATAAGCCTTCTGCCTTAGACACCCTTACAGTAGCCACGATTAAGCTGAATAAGAGGAATGAAGGCCACATCCATTTTCATGGCAGCACTATTCACGATGGCCAAGAGGTGGAAGCAGCCCGAGTGTTCATGGGAGGAAGAATGGATACACAAAATGTGGTATATACATACACTAAAATAGTATTCATCCTTATAAAGCAAGGAAATCCTGTCACATACTATATAGCATGGATGAACAGTGAGGACATGATGGGGGCCGGCCGAGTGGCTCAGTAGGTTTAGAGCTCGCTCAAGAGTTTGAGCTCTGAGCAACAGCGGTTCGAGTCCCAGGCTGAGCTGAGCAGCCGCTGAGCTGCCAAGAGGCGGCAGGATGGCTCAGCTTAGTAACAAAGACAAATACTATATGATCCCAATTATATGAAGTACCTAGAGTAGTTAAATTTATATAAACAGAAAGTAAAATGGTAGCTGCCATGGACTGGGAAAGGAGAAAATGGGGAGTTGTTTAATGGGTACAGAGTTTCAGTTTTGCAAAATGAAAAAACTCTGAACATTGGCTGCAGAACAATGTGACTATCCTTAACACCACTGAACTACACACTTATAATTAAGATGATAAATTTTATGTGTCTTTTCACCACAATAAAAATAAGTAACGGAGGCTGTTATGGACAGAATGTTTATGTCCCCCCAAAATTCATTATGTAGAAGCCATAACCTCCAATGTGATGATATTATGAACTCGGGCCTTAGATACTAATTAGGTTTAGGTAGGTCATGAGGGTGCAGCCCCAGAATGGGATTAATGTCCTTATAAAAAGAAGAATAGACACCAGAGCTCACTCTCTCCACACTCACATGCTGAGGAAAGGCCATGTGAGCACACAGAGGAGGCAGCTATCGACAAGCCAGGAAGCGGCCATAGAAAGGGAACAACCACTGATACATGCAACAACCTGGATGAACCCTGAAAACATTATGCCAAGTGACAGTTGTCACACACAAAAAGCTACATCTTGTATGATTCCATTTATATGACATGTCCAGAACAGGCAAACCCATACAGACAGAAAGTAGGCTAGTAGCTGCCAGGGACTTGAGAGAGAGGGGAAATGTGGGATGGAGGGAATGAGGAGTGACAGCTGAAGGGTAGGGCATTTCTTTTTGGGGTGATGAACATATTCAGGAATTAGATAGTGATGATAGTTGCATACTCTATGAATATGCTAAAATCCATGAAACTGCATGCTTTAAAAAGGTGAGTTCCATGTGGTATCTGAATTACATCTTAAAGCTGTCATGAGAAAACATCAGAGGAAACGATCACAATAAATGGTATATTTGTAAATAACAAACAACAATCTTTGTTTCCCTGAAAATGAGCATCCAAAA